AAGATCTTGCAATGCTTCGCGGGCCCTGGCCCGGGGGGCGCCGGCGTAGGGTTCACGATGGGCGGCGGGGTCTCTGGAGGCGGGGTGCTGATGATGATGGGGGGCGTGGTTGTGGTGGTCGTGGTGGTCCCCGCGAGGAAGAGGAAAGGGAGCAGCGCCAGCCACCAGAGGCAGCACAGCCACCAGACGCTGCACCCGGCCGCGGGGATCGGCACCACGGTGAAGGTGCCCGCGCCCTGGCCCACGTACTGGTAGGTGGTGGTGGCGATGTAGTCGCCGCCTGCGCCCACATACGACATCGTCGTTCCGGCTATGCCCCCGCAGCTGGCGCCTGCGACCCCGCAGCACGCGTCGCCGCACGCGGGCGCCACGCCCACCCCGCACCCGTCCGCGCCGCAGCTGTTGCCACAGCCCACACCTCCGCAGCAGCCTTCCCCACCACCAGCATACCCCATCCCAGGATACACGCCCCCACCGGCATAGCCCATCCCGGGGTAAACCCCGCTGCCCATCGCGCCACCGCCCACGCCGCCACCGACAAAGGCCCCGCGTGATCCCGCAACGAAGCCGCCGTTGGGGCCCGCTGCCATGAAAGAGCCGCCACGAGCACCGTAGAGGCTCATCGTCTGCACCAGGCCTGGCGACTGAACAGCAGGCACGCTGGGAAGTACGTGTCCAACCAGGGGCGCTTGCGCGGATGAGGCCTTGACCTTGGGCCAGAATGGCTACCGCACGAAGAATCAACAAACTCTTGTATGGATAGCAAGCTCGCCCTCGCCCTCGGCGCTGCGGACTCAAAGATGTGCCCAAAAAGGTGTCACCATCTCAAGCACGACTCGGCAGTCGTGGAACGGTCTCGGGGGCCTCTTGGTCCGTCTTGGATGCTGCTCAAACCAAAGAAGCGAATGCGTGAAAAAAGCACGCTTCCCTGGAGGGAAAGGGACGATATTTACAATGTGGCCGTCCTTTTGAAAGCCTCTGGGAACGTTTTGAAGGCCTCTCTGGCCGTCTTGAGTCGTCTTGGGTTCGTTTTGAACACTCCTGGGCCGTCGTGGGCTCCTATTGGTCCTCTCTGAGGCCGCCCTGGAAGTATGCTAGGCCGCCTTGGGGGTGTCTTGGTGCCCCCCAAAGAGCCATTAGAACATCGTGCCGCTGTGAGCGCCGTAAGAGGACCCACAGGCGCGCAGCAGATCGGCCCTTGCGGTGTCGCATGCACGTTGCCTCCAGAAAGAAGCGGTTTCGCAGCTCCTGGGTTCTACTGCCCCTCGACGTGTCTGCTGGCGCAGCGCCCGCAGCGCTTGAGGAAGACGCCCTCGGCGCGTGCGCCAAGTCCCTTGAAAGGGACCTCTGGCCGCCAAGTCCCTTGAAAGGGGCCCTCTGGCCAGACGCGCCCCCTGAAAGGAGCTTCTGGCACCTCGCGCCTTCTGGGTCAGGCTCCCAGACAAGGACCTCTGGCCACCAGAAGCCCCCGTGAGGGGCCGCTGGCCAGCCATGTCACACGATACGAGCCCCTCCTCGCGCCTTCCAGGCCAAATCCCCTGAAAGGGACATCTGGCCGCCAAGCCCGCTGACAGGGATCTCTGTCCAGCGGGAAAAAAGTTTGTGTGTGTTTTTGTATGTTTTTGTGTGTGTGTTTGTGTTTTGTTGTTGTGTTTTGTTTTTTTTGTTTTTTCTCCCCCCGAAAGGAGCCTCGGGCGCCTCGCGCCTTCCAGGCCGAGTCCCGCTGAAAAGGGCCTCCGACCGCCAAGTCCCTGAAGAGACCCCTGGCCAGCCGTGCCCCCCTGAAGGGAGCCGCCTCTGGCGCCGCGCGGCTTCCAGGCCAAGTCCCCTGCAAGGAGCCCGCGGCTGGCCGCGCTTCCCGGCCCCGCGCAAGCCTTCCAGGCCAAGCACCCCGATAAGGGGATCTACGGCTTCCAGATTGCAGCCACGGGGCTCGTTTTCCCATGGCACCCTGATAGGAGCTATGCGCGGCAGCTGCCTGTCATCGCTCTGGCACGCACGGCGCGCCTGGGAGGCGCCCACGAGCCGAGGCGAACGATTGAGGTCTTGACTCGCAGTCGCCACATGGCGCCCAGATGCGCGCCTGCGTCCGCCCGGGCGCCTGAACAAGCCCCCGGGAGACCCCAGGCGCCCGACGAATTGGCGAGCGCAGAGTGTGCGCCGCGCCTTCGCGGGAGCGCCACTTTCAGAAAAAATGCGCGCGGCGCCGAAACGAGAGCGACATTTCGCCCTTTCAAGCGGGGAGTGCGCCGCGTCCCATTCCAGCCACGCATTTCGCGACGTGGACCACAGGACGTCCATGTTGAGAGGAAAAACGTCGATGTTGCATTGCTTTTGCAGGTTAGGATGGGGACCTCCGAATTGGCGGGCCACAGGAGGCCCCAGGAGGCCCCAGGAGGTTTCAGGAGGCCCAAAGAAGCCCCAGGAGGCCCCAGGAAACCACAATAGGCTTCAGGGGGGTTCAGTACGCCCCAGGAAGCCCCAGGAGGCCCCAGAAGGCACCAGGAAACCCCAGGAGGCATCAGGAGGCTCCAGGAAGCCCCAAGAAGCCCCAGGAGGCCCCAGGCGCCCGACGAATTGGCGAGCGAAAAGTGTGCGCCGTGCTTTGGCGGGAGCTCCACTTTCAGAAAAAAATGTGCGCGGCGCCGAAGCGAAAGCGACATTTCGCCCTTTCGCGCGGGGTGTGCGCCGCGTCTCATTCCTGCCGCGCATTTCGCGACGTGGACCACAGGACGTCCATGTTGAGAGGAAGAACGTAATGTGTGTATTGCTTTTTGCAGGTTAGGATGGGACCTCCCGACTTGGCCCGCAATCGGCCGGGGAGAGGGCAGAGCGGGAGCATGTACAAATAAAGAACAAGGATAGGAGTAGGAGGAGGAGGAGGAGTAGTAGTAGCAGGAGTCAAGTTAGCCAGGTCGAGCGAGGCACGGGGGCCCGCCTCCTCCCACCCTCCCTCCAACAACATCAGAAAAAATTGGGGCATGGCCTGATATTGGGATTGGAACGCGCTCCCACCTCGCAAGCGGAGGGAACCCGCGCGCAGTCCCGCTTCCAACGACTCGGCGAAGAGAAGAAAACTGCGCGGGCCGCGCAGGCAGGGGCCGGAGCGACAACACGTCCGATGGGCACTGCCGAGACGAAGGACGCGCCGCGCTGACACAGCATCACTTTCGCTCACAAGCTGCGCGGCGTTGGTAGGAAGGCACAAACTATACACCAACACCGATCCTGGCCAGGATCACCCTGGGCCCAGGATCGGTGTTGGTGTATAGTTGGTGCCCTCCGAGTTGGGACGAGGTCGGCATCTCGCCCGCTCTCGCGAGGCCCAGCTGCCGATGTCGCTCCCACGCGCCTCCGGCGAGCGAGCCGTGCGCATGCGCCGCGCCCCGCGCACAGAACGCAGCCTGCGAGCCAGACCCGCACGGAGCCTGGGCCAGGGCGACAAGACGCCCACCCGCGCGGCCCCCCCCAGACGTTGGCGACTGATGAAGATGCGCCGCGTCGAAGCTCGACCGGGGCGAAAAGGAGGGGGAGGAGGGGGAGGAGGAGGAGGAGGGAGGAGGAGGAGGAGGAGGAGGAGGAGGAGGAGGAGGAGGAGGATCGGGAGCGGCCAAGAGGGGGGTGTCCAAGAGGGGGGGGGGTGCAAATCATTGCCGGCGGCACGTGCGCGGCCCCGCGGGAGGGCCAGGGGCGTCATGGAACAAGAGGAGGCGCCATACGAAATCTGAGGAAATGTCGTGGCCCCCGCCATGAGATCCACCCCCCCCCTGGTCGCCACCCCCCTCTTTTCCGCTCCCGACACTCTCGGGCGAAAGCTGCGCGGCACCGGGGGCGAGAGCTGCACGCTCGTCCGCCTCGCGCGTCGGCGAGGGTGCCGTGCGACAAGTGTGTGCGCCGCGCCCGAGCGGGAGCTTTCAATGCTCTCTATAGGAGGCACGAGCGCTGGCACCGAGGCGAGGAGCGATGTGTCGGCACCTCTCGCGCGGGCGGTGCGCCCCGCCCCCCCCTTCCCTGGCCGCGCACCTTGCAATCACGGACGGCAGGGTGTCCACGCTGAGACGGAAGCTTACACTTCACACGGTTGCATCTCACGGGTGGGGATGGAAGGGCCTGGAGTGGGATCCCCATCGAGCGGGGCCAGGTGGCAGCGTGGGAGCAGACACGAATCAGGAGTGGGGGGAGGAGCAGGAGTCAAGTTTAGCAGGTTAAAGCGAGTCTGGGCCCCGCCTACTCCCGCCGCCCCTCCCACAGCACAAAATTCGTTCATGGAGCAGCTTGATATTGGGATTGGCACGCGTTCCCTCCTCGCAATCGGAAGGCGGTCGCGGGCGGCCCCACTTCCTACTACTCGTCGAACTAGAGTAGGGAGAGTAGAGTAGAGTAGAGCAGAGAAGAGTAGAGTATAGTAGAGTAGAGTAGAGCAGAGTAGGTTCGATGATAGAGTAAGAGGCGGGTAGAATAGAGTGGAGCAGAGCAGAGATGAGATGAGAGGATATCACAATAAAGTAGGTTAGAGTAGGGTGGGGTAGAGTAAAGTAGAGTTGAGTGGGATAGAGCAGAGTAGAGTAGAGTAGAGTAGGTTAGAGTCGAATAAGGTAGAGTAGAGCAAAGCAGAGGAGGATGGATGGTAGACAAGTGTCGGATATAAGATAATCGAGCAGGGCAGAGCAGACGAGAGGAGCGGAGAGATGATTGAGTAAACGAAAACTAACGTAGAGTCGAGCGGAGTAGGTCAGGGTAGGATGGAGTAGAGTAGGGTAGAGTAGAGCAAAGCAGAGTAGAGCAGGGTAGATTGTAGAGAGGAGTCGGGTATAATAAATATATATATATATATATGATTATAATAGAGTGGAGCAGAGTCAACCCCAATTCAGTCCAGGCTCCTCCAGTCCAGTCCACTAAAGTACACACCAATCCATTTCATACCAGTCTTCTGATCGATTCGAAATTTGCGCTGTCGGTTGATGTTCTTCGAGCCACCGCAAACATGCACATCGAGA